CTCCGCATACTAGTTTTCTACTTGAAAAGTTCTGTTATGCAGCCGGAGCTACAGGACTGTACTCTGCGTACAACATTTGTATTTAAAAGTTACGATTTTCCAGCCGGAGATGCGGGAGTGTCCTCCGCGTACTACGTTCGCACTTAAAAGTTGCGATTTCTGCTAGAAAGGCTTCCGCGGACCAGGCGGGGATCGACCCCGCGACCGCCGCAGCCGCGCAAACCACGCGACAACTTCCACAGACCACACACATTCGCACGGCGCCGAAAAAACCCTCAGTTTTTGCACATCGACCACGCCGATCCCCGCAGAGGGTTCATCCTGGAATGTCAAAATTGCAAAAAGTCCTCAGAGTTTTTTGACCTCGACCTGCGCACACCGCAGAAATCGTAAAAAGTCCTCAGTTTTTTGACCTCGACTACAGAATCTCCGCAGAGGGTCGCTCAGAAATTGTATTTGACCTCGACCACACGAATCTCCGCAGAGGGTCGCTCGCACAAATCAGAAATCGTAAAAAGTCCTCAGTTTTTTGACATTGACCTCGACCGCACGAATCTGCGCAGAGGGTCGCTCGCACAGATCAGAAACCGTTAAAAAGTCCTCAGTTTTTTGACCTCGACCACGCGAATCTCTGCAGAGGGTTGATTTTCGTAGAGTGCCGTCGGCCCTACCCCGTCGCCGTAAGAAGAGAAGAAAGGAATTTAAATCTCGTCATGAATGAGAACTCTCATGAGCATGGCTCCTCGCCAGTGACTCTCATGAGCATTGCTCCTCGCAAGTGACTCTCATGAGCATTGCTCCTTGCCAGTGACTCTCACGGGCATTGCTCCTCGCAAGTGACTCTCTGCTATGACTCTGTGCAATGACTCTCATGATGATAATGACTCTGTGCAATGACTCTGATGATGATGACTCTTTGCAATGATTCTGATGATGATGACTCAGTGCAATGGCTCCTCGCAAGTGACTCTGATGATGACTATGTGCAATGACTCTGATGATGATGACTCTTTGCAATGATTCTCATGATGATGACTCAGTGCAATGACTCTGATGATGGTAACTCTGTGCAATGATGATAACTCTTTGCAATGACTCTCATGATGATGACTCTGTGCAATGACTCCAATGACTCCCATGAATCCAACGGAAGAACCCTTCGCCATGCTTTCGGGAAAAGAAACAATGAATTAGGCAAGAAGTCAGTGTGCCTTTGTGCGGTTGGTGCATGGCCACTCAGCAAGCACGCACAAACGAACAGATATAGACTAGTTGAAGCCAAAACATGGTTCTACAAAACTCAAACGCGGGAAATCCAACATTATACCAGTGCTATTAATATGAAACTCCCGAGACAAATCGCAACGACGTCGACACCAGAACCATGCATGCACCCGCATAGGCGTGTATTTGTGTGAGCGTGTTGCCATAGGCTGCTCCGGTAAACAAACGCAACCAGAAACATCAGCTACACAAATCGGAACATGGTCCAAGCAACAGCAGAACTCAGCACTTGTTTCCTGCACCCTTCCTTCCGCCCCAAACCAAATACATGAAAACGTGCACATGCTTGCTTTTTGCGTTTCAAACACACCATCCGGCCAAGCCCCTTTTATCAATCATGTTTCAACTCCACTAGCATGAACAAAGTCTAGTTGGTTTCATTAAAAACAATCGAGCATTTGGTTCAAACAAGTTGTGGCTCAACTTCCTGTTCGTTTTCCTTAAGCAAACCCACGGATTTTGATCAATCCCCGTCCGCCCCTCCGCTGTTTTGCGACTGGACTGGGGTCATCAAAGCAACATCCTCAACATTTCCCCGCTCCCAAGGTAAACTGCCCCAAAGCAATTTTGAGATTCCCTTCCCACACAAATTGGACCCTTTTGGGACCTGACGCCGCCGCTACGTGCCGCCTTTTGCAGGGAAACCAAAAAAGGGCAAACCTACTTTTGACAAACCTCAAATGAAAAAAAAATGAAGGGTTTCAAGGAAGATGGACATGATTGAAGGTACATGTTTGAGATCCCCTTCCAACAAAATCACCCAACTAAGGCGACACGAAGGCAACGCCTGGAGCTTCATCACCACGCTAAGGCGCCGGGAGGTGCCACTCACCACCCGCACCTGGCCATGTGGCCAGGTTCGAACAAATTGGTTGTCCAGCTGTAGGCTCTACCTGGATACTCCTAAGGAACCATTTCCCACTTTTCGTTTTTCCGAAAAAAAAAGCAGAAGAAACACGCTCATGCCGGTCAGAAATCAATTATTTCGATACACAACTCTGATGGCCAATCCTTCCTCTTCGTGATGGTGCTCAGCCACAAATGCTTGGAACTCAGTTTCGGTGGTTCCACGGATTTCCGCGCATTTCCCGTAGGGCGCAGTCTGATTGGTCTCATTGCATGCATAAAGAGGGCGGATCTTCAGCTAATACTTCTCCGTTCCCCACAACAAAACGTGCACTCACACAGAGACAACACATGCGCACAAACACACACACACACACAAACACACACACACACACACACACAATCACACACAATCACACACAATCACACACAATCACACACAATCACACACAATCACACACAATCACACACAATCACACACAATATCACACACACAATATCACACACACAATATCACACACACAATATCACACACACAATATCACACACACAATATCACACACACAATATCACACACACAATATCACACACACAATCACACACACAATCACACACACAATCACACACACAATCACACACACAATCACACACACAATCACACACACAATCACACACACACAATCACACACACAATCACACACAATCACACACAATCACAGACAATCACACACAATCACACACAATCACACACACAATCACACACAATCACACACAATCACACACAATCACACACAATCACACACAATCACACACAATATCACACACACAATCACACACAATCACACACACACAATCACACACACAATCACACACAATCACACACAATCATACATAATCACACACACAATCACACACAATCACACACACAATCACACACACACACAAACGCGCATGGAAATCGTATGGTTGGCTCAAGCACTGTGCGAGGAGAAAGCCATCCTGTGCCAGCGCGGGCTTTCAAGGGCGGTTTGTTCAAAAGGAAACCACACAAGGCCAAATGTTTGGGGGTTCCATTATGTAGCAACTCTTAATAGGGTTCAGCCTTCTATCGGGACCCGCAGGTGTCATTGTGAACTTCCTGTACTCACAGCGGTCTCTTGGTCCAAAAAGCTTGAAACTATTGCTAAGTCGATTCTCCTATGCAAATTTCATCTGATACCGGTGCTCACCAAAATACGGAACCGCTTCATGCTGGCAACTTTGCCAGGCGTTTCCTGCAAAACTCCGCAGCTCCAGATCGAAAATCGCAACTTTGCACAGCTGCAGCTTGAAAATCGTGGCTGACGCCCTGTTTCGTTTCTTGTTCTTGGCTCTCATCGCTTTGAGGGTGTTTTAAGCGAACTATTCAGTGGCACGTCCCTTCATAATTCTTAGGTGCGGGGGTATTTTACAATCCCAACTGGGGGCGGTGGTTGGTATTCTAAGCAAGACCGTCACCCACCCAGGTGAATCTACGCTACTGCCCCTGGGTCCCCTGGGTGTCCATAAGAATGCAAATAACTGGCCCGAAAACGCACCTGCGCCGAGAAATGAAAGCAAAACCGAACAACATCATAAACTCAATTCACCATTGTCCAACCAAGCTGAATCCATGGAGCCTTTTGCCACGCCCTGCGATCTCTTCGCCTTCACTTCCGCCAAGGTCACCTTGAGAAGGTCTGCCACCGCCTGGCGGAATCGGAGGGTGGCATGCAGCTGGAACAAACGTGGCCCAAGCGCGCAAGACATAACACACCCCCAAAAAAATGGCGCAGGGCTTTACGCATAGCCGAACATGTCTGCAGCCGACATCAGCAGATCAAACAGCACTCTACATGTATTCGTGTATACGTGTATACGTCAATGTATCTGCATAACAATGTACTACTGATTCGGAGCCATGGATTCTTCCAAGGTCTATCTATTGTAAATCCTATTGCAATACTCATACACATATTCAGCTCCTTGACAGCTGTGTTCATTCCATTCAACAAATTGCACCCTTATGAAGACTCCCGGAATGAATGCGTTTCAAGGGGGTTTGTTTTGCTCCCAACTGGTGTGTATCGAAACCCGCAAGATGTTGGGAGACTCATCCTAGCTCTAGCCAAACGTCCAGTCGCAAGAGGTTGTCCATCCTCTTGTGGTTTCCTGCAAGGACACTTCAATATAAAGCACCTAGGCAGCCAAATGAGAACAGCATGCCGTTTTGCAGCTGCCGGACACACGCACGATCTGGATTTCACATCGCACGTGCGCAGTATGAGTCTCACATTGAAAATTGCCCTGTACGGGGAAAGGGCTGTGCTGTGCCTCTGCCAGAATTCCAAAGATGAACCAAACCAAAGATTGCTCTTAGGACCGGTGGGCTCAAAAACTGAAGCGTCCGAGCGCTTGGATATCACTCGGTGCTTGATGTCCATCCCATGGCCGCCATAAAAACAAAGATACAAGTAAAGGGCCTTGCAAAAACTCTGAAGCAGTCGTGCTCCCTGGCAGGTGCTGGGCGGTTTGCAGGGGTGAAGAACCAGCTTCGCGAGTTGGGTCAGTCTCATGGATCCCGCAGCTCCGCAAAACTCAGCAAAAGAGCAACACCCATTCGCAAGATATCTAAGGGACCAACTCTGACAACCAAAGGTCGAAGATGCAGATTCTCCGACAGCCGGATGGATGTTCACTAAGCCAAAAACCAGAGTTGCTTCCCGTTGACCTTCAAGATGTGTTGCGGGCGCCTTGAAGTTCACATGCTACCTGGCTGCAACCTGACTCTTAGTCGGTTGTATAGGGGTCTCGATACATTGAAGCTGCCGCATCTCCTGGGGCATTGCGTAGCAACCAATTCGAGAATACTGGCTCAGCTACAGACAGCACCGGCTCTCGAATTCTGACAGGGGCCTCTGCCACAGGCGACCACTGTTTGTGGAATGCCTCGCTTCACGTGACCCAGGCGCAGGGCTTCCCCATTGGGAGCGCGCTCCGCAGCGAGAGGGTAAACCAACTATGTAAGCGCTGTACTGTAGTGGTGACGAGCGCCGAATTAGTGACAGCAAAAACACATTACGAAAGAGTGCCTATTGAAAGAACACAAAACTCAGAATCAGCTAGCCCCCTTTTCGATGGAGCTTTAAGGGAAGGCACAAGGAAATCTGTTGTTTCTGGGCCCTGCCCGCCCTTCTTCGAAAACATCCATATTATCAATCTAGGTCGGTAGAAGCGATGAGATCCCGTCTCTTTAGTGTCAGAAACGGAACCTTCTTGTTGCACCAGCCCCCCCATGACAAGAAAACAACAAACAAAAACCTCTGGGTGGTGACTTGGGATCTAGAGGAAGCAAACGGCGATGCGAAACGCGGCATCCGATCAGCCTACACGCCAATGGGCGGAAAAAAGCTTTGGGTTCCATTTCCAGGGCTCGCCAGTCAAATCCGCCGGGCCCGAAGGCCACCTCAGGCCCAGCCGGAGAATAGGACTGCACGTCCTGGCCGGTCGGAGAAATGCCACAGTGACCCATCCTTCAAGCCAGGTAACCCAAAATTTGTGGTAGCCTTGTGCCATTTTTTGTCCAGTTCTTCACGAAATGGCCTCTTCCTTGACTTGACCTTTGGCAGGTCCCTTTCGCGTCCCTGCCTCAGCACGATTTCAGCGACTCACTCCACACCGGCGATGGGAAGCTTAGCGCCCTGGTTGCAGCAACGATTGTAGAGCATGTCCGCCAGAACCACCGTCAATGCGCCTGACGGCCCCGTTGGAATTGAACAGGACGACGTGGATTTCTTTCGGGATGGGGTGGATGCCTTTAGAAGAAAAGTTGACCAACGGGAACCGTGATCTTGTCTTTGCAATGTGCAGAGCAAAAAACAGGAAGAACACCTGTTATTCCGCCAGTCAGAGTTTGTCACAGTCCGGGGTCAGAAAGAGTCGGCACATCTCCTACCAGAAGTGGATGCCAAAGCATGTGTTAACAGCATGTTTCATCTGCTTGGATTCTGGTACCCTGACACATACCAAACATGTCAATTAGCATGTATACAAGGTATATGTATACCTGGCTGTGGGTCAAACATATGTACCCAAAATGGAACCCTGGTACATGGAAACAAGGACTCAAACCGGCGGTCCCCTGGTGGTTTGATTTTGACCCATACCCACCTCATGTATATAAAGACCGTACTTAATGGCGTCTACTGAGGGCAGGGTACTCCAGCAACTCGATGTGCAGAATCACTGGAAAGTCATCGATCTTCCAACAGATCTTGTCTCCAGCCTTGCGCAAAAGGCCGTACCACTGAGGAACAAAGAAACAAGTGCAGGGGCAATGGGGGGTAAAAACAAAATAGCCCTTTGTTGGGTGCCTCTTTTTTGGGGTACCCCTTGCAGGGTTGTTTTCGGGACACTAAAAGGATCAAACCCAAACTCACCCGGTCTGCGGGTTCCTGTTTTGACCCAAACCCGAGGGCGCCCAACGAAACCACCCGGCCGCCAGTTGGCCGTGCCTGAGGAGGTGCCCCACACAAGGTCCACCAATGGTGTCCACCACTGCCTCGAGTCGTGGGCTTCGTGTGCGTCGGCTTGAAGCGGGAAAACTGAGCCGTATGCCAAAAGGTTCGTTTTGTGTTGAAGGGAAGTGTTTTTTTTTAGGGGGACAACAAGACACTGGTAAGTGGACAATAGGTGTCGGGGTTGGGGGAAGGCATTAATCTTAACTTGTGATCCTAGAAAGCATCTGATGGACAGGCGAGCGCAGAGGCTCTCTGTTTGTGAATTCCGGCACTCTTGGACAAACTGGTTCCATTGCAAACAAGAGCGCTGATACAATTGGGCTACCCCACTTGCACGTGACTTGAGATTGGCGACTGCTTGCTGTAAGCGCCGGAGACTTTGCCACGCCTGCACGAGGAGCACCGAATTCAATTCGCAAATGCTTAGAGATGAAAAGAAGCATGTTTGACTAGGTCCTCCAGTAGAGAGGATAAGGATACCGTTTGTTTTTTGTTTTTTCAGGGGAACCCTCCCCAAAAAAGGGTGAGAAAGGGCACTACTGGGGGACCTAGTTGAGCAAGAACAAAAGTTGACTGGAAATCAAGCAGCTACATCTGGCCCCACTACTTTTCCATTGTCAAGGTCAGCCCGGAAGTGGTAGCCCGGAAGTGGTAGCCTACAGGGAAACAACCAACCAGTTTCTGACTTTGAAATCTGCTAGAAACTGGCAAACTCATGACCCCAGTACATATCCCTTTACTTCGACCCCAAAAAGAGGCGCCCCCACCCGCTCCGCGCTCCCAAAACGCGGGGGAACGGCACAACGGTGGCCAAGGCGCACGCGGTAGCTGGGGAAGAAGGTCAAAGCGGTGCCCTGGAAGGTGCCGAAGACGGTAAATCCCACAAACGCGCCGAAGGCCGCCGCCTCCTTCCTCGGAACGGAGGCGAAGGCGAAGGCCCTCCGGCAGGTGCCACTTTTTTTTGGGGAGGGAGGCTTTGGCCGGTTTGGAGCTTTCAGCCTTAAGCCGACATGACGTACTTGCCATTTACACGCACGATTTGAGTTACACACTGAAATGGAGAGAGGGTCCCGGCAAACATGTGTTGTGGGCCAAGAAGGATTCAAACAGCGAGGAACCTTGATGGGAGAGGTCTCGAATCCACATTAGGTCGCTACAGTTTGCCCCTGCGAACTCATCAAACATGAGGAGTACCACAGATTTAAAAAAACAAAAAACTAAACTACCAGGAACCTGGAATTGGCAAGAGCCTGGCAATACCTATCAATTAATCATGCAGCGGTGTGTAAATCCTGTGATACTTAGCTTTCCCAAAACCAGGACTCCCTCTTCACCTTTAACGAACCAGGAGATAAATCCTGGTTTGCTATTTCTTAGAAAAGTGACTTGTCCCTGAAAAGCAAGTGGACTTCCCAACTCAGGTGAGGGACTTGGGAGTGGCCACTCTTTCTTGGGTCTGAGAACTGGGGGTGTTTTGCATAGTGTCTGTCAACAGGATTAGCCTGGAATACCGTGCTGTTCAGAGAAACGCAGCGAACACGGATCGCCTCCCAATTTAAGATGAGTCGGGAGGGGTCTATTGATCTGCAGAACATTCGGGTTTGAAACAAGCGCGTCTTTTCTATGTGCGTTTGGGGGAAGCGAGGGGTGGGTGGCTAGCCAAACTCATTCCTGCGAAGTGGACACAGGGTTCGACTAGACGCTCTTGCACCATCTCTGACCCGAACATGTTGCTAATCATCATAAGTCACCAAGCTGAAAAAAGGAATCCCAAAGTGACTAGGTGATGTCCTCGTTTTACCTCCAGGTGCGGTAGCCAGAATTTGTGCAGATTCACGCGTTTCTTTTTGAAGGGGCCCTGGGCAGGTCGTTGCTCCATGGACTTCTTGCCTTGCGCGCGGCCAGCTGGCAAAGTTCTGCCCCGCGGAGAGTGACAGAGCCCAAGGCGTCCAGGCAAGGAGGCCGAAGGGCAAGACCACCGTGTCGAAGAGCTCCTCGAGCCCAATTTGTTTCACCCCAGCGGGGTGGTTCATGTCCTCTCATGCCCTCTGGCAGTCTGGGGAGTTCATTTACAAAGGGCAAGCCTGATTTCAAGTCTAAAAAACACAGGTTCCCTGTTTTTGGGTGCGGAAGCCGTGGCGTAACCCCAGGGGAAGAAAAACGGCCCTAATGATTGGAAGCGGGTGTCTTGAAGGGCTGGTACTTTGGGGTAGGATGTGGCTTGCGGGAACAAGAAGCCGCGTCCTGCAATGTGGAAAAAACGGAGGGTGATGTCCTTTGGACTTGCCTTCAATGGCAGGTCGGGACAAAAAACAACTCCAAAGGCTTCTATACTATTTATTTGGAGATTGAAGCCGAATCAACAGTACTCCGGCAAAAACCTTACAGTAGTCTGTAACTTGCTCTGGCAATCAAATAAAACAACAGGAACTCTGCTGAAACGCTGGGCATCTTCCGTATTCATGTACCTTATCCTCAAATGCACCCCGACCACTCAAGGGCCCTTTTTTTGGACTCCACCAATACATGATGACCCTTAGGTACTTGGCAAAAACAACCTAATGTCAAAACCCGGGTATATTTCCAGATAGACCCTGTTGAATCTGCCGCACTTTTGGCAAGCTCACTTTTCAAAATAGCCGCACATAGAAGAAGCATGATTGCTCTGCTCACCCAACAAGGCCATTCATCCAGTGTTGTGTCAAATGGGAAGCAACATGAAGCATCATTTTGTGAAGTAGACAAAATGAATTTGACCGGCACAAACACGCACTCTTAATTGGCTCTAAGGATATTGCCATGTTTACTTGGGTTTGCTGCAGCTGCTCAAATATCAATGGTGTATGTGTATACATATCCGTATATATATATATATATGGTCACCCCCCCCTGCATGACCTACCGTTGTCTTTCAAAAAGTCGTTGGGGACCATTAGCAGACAATAAAAAAGTGAAAAAAACACATGTGTTTATGGTTTTCGATTAAAAAACAACACAGTCAACCATTGAAAAATTAAGAAAAAAGTGTGTTTTGATGGTTTTAGCAAACAATGTGCAAAAACCCGTGTTTTTTTAGAAAAACGGGAAAGCATTCAAAAAAACAAGTGTAAAAACTGATATGTTTTTCAGATAGATCCCTAAGTCAAAAACTAAGAATTCCCTGGGTTTTTGATGGTTTTGCAGTAAAACCTTCAGAATTCCTTGGGTTTTTATCATTTTTCACATAAAACCAAGAAAACCGAGAGAAAACCAAGAATCCAAGAATCCAAGATTTTCAGGTAGATGTTTGGTCCACTACAAAATATTGGATTCTTGGTGTTCTCGAGGTTTTCTTGGTTTTCCTTGTTTTACTTGGGAATTCTTGGATTTCCAGCAAAAAACCAAGAATTACTGAGTGTTTTTGGATTTCCAGCAAAAAACCAAGAATTACTAGGGTTTTTGGATTTCCAGCAAAAAACCAAGAATTACTAGGGTTTGTTTGGATTTCCAGCAAAAACCCAAGAATTACTAAGGTTTTTTTGGACTTCCAGCAAAAAACCAAGAATTCCCAAGTAAAACAAGGAAAGCCAAGAAAACCTCGAGAAAACCAAGAATCCAAGATTTTGTCGTGGGCCAGACATCTACATGAAAATCTTGGATTCTTGGAGTCTTGGTTTTCTCGAGGTTTTCTTGGTTTTCTTGATTTTACTTGGGAATTCTTGGATTTCCAGCAAAAAACCAAGAATTACTAGGGGTTTTTTGGATTTCCAGCAAAAATCCAAGATTTACTAGGTTTTTTTCCAGCAAAAAACCAAGAATTCCAGAGTAAAACAAGGAAAGCCAAGAACACCTCGAGAAAACCAAGAATCCAAGATTTTGTCGTGGGCCAGACATCTAAAACAACAGAAATACCAGCACCAACTGAAGACGAAGAAGAAGAACCACAAAAAAATATTTTTGAAAAATTAAAATCTTAATAATAATATATATAATGGGTATTGGTAAAAGTAAAAATAATGGAAATAGTTTGGAAGACATTAAGAATTTAAGTATAGATGAAAAAACACGAGCAGACACTTTTATTATTACATCTCTTCAAGAATGTGTGACACGAATTGAGAAACTAGAGAAAGAAAAAGCTGACAAATTACTCTATAAACTTCCTGCCTTACAATTTTGCAATGCTTCGTTAATTTAAATTAATAATATTAACATGTAATAATATTATTAATTGCTATCATAATCTGTCATGTTATCCTCTGGTATTGTTGTTGAAGTAGTACTACTTATATCATCTATTAAATCTTCTTCATCAACCAAAATTATGTTGAAATCTTAATAATTCCTCGTCTGTTGCCCTTCTTTTCAATACTTTATAAAGTGTATGTATCCAAGAATTAGTATGAAAATTACAATTACCTCTACGATAAAATCCACCACATCTACATAGTTTCATTGGCATATTACTATATTATATTAAATTAGAACATCTTTATTCATCATTCGTAAATTGAAATGCCTGTTCAAATCTGATATGAAACATTTTGTTAATGTCTTTAGCATTCATATTCACGTAGAAGAAACTATAAGGTGCGTCATTAACGGCTTGATGATACATATCTAATAATTGCTGTTTATCAACAATGGCGCTATTTTCTTCAATAAAACTCATTAACTCACTTGCATTTTTCAACCTAAAAATATATAATGAACTGGCATTTAAACGAATGATAGGCACTAAAACATTATATTTTTGTGTTGAACAAATTACACTTACTGCATCGTGCCTGCCTCTTGTAAAAAGTCCGTGTAATAATTTACTATATCTAACAAATTTAGGATCGTCTGCGTGGTCATCTACAACGATTAATATTGAATGCGTGGTCATCTATAACGATTAATATTGAATGTAATTTCTTTATCTTTTTAGACTTCATATAATTAATTATTTTCTTCTGTCTTTCAATTACATTTTCTAAATCACTTGGATTATAGTTATGAAAATACATTTGTTCTTATTCATCATCCACGTGCAATTCATCCCTGATGTATTTTTTAACTTCTGTAAAAGTTGGGTCATTATGAACGCTGGGGGAAAATATAAATATTCTTGCAAATGAATTTCTATAAACATTCAAGATAAGGTTTTGGACTAAAACTGTTTTGCCTCCCGTCGATGAAGCAACTATAATACTTCTAAATGGTAATTTTAGCACGTGCTCATATTTGGATTGTTTGAATTCAGTTATGTTTATTGGTTTTATTATTGGGACATCTGTCATAGTTGATATTAAAGAAATTTAGAAAATTATATTTAAAAATTAACTTGTCATTAATATTAAATGGACCATCATTATGTTATGAGTGGCGGTGAATAACATAATGGAACAGGTTTTCGATTGCTTCAATCAATAAGCATTGAAGATAATTAGTTTTGTGTCTTGCTCGCGTGTGCAATGAACACCAAGCGCTGTGCCCCACCAATAGCGATGAAGGGAGGGGCAAATGATAGATGAGATCCTGCTTTTTTTAGCTAAAAAGGTAGGTCATGCAGGGGGGGGTGAGCATATATATATATATATATGTACCAGTCCCTGGGCCACGTAAACCCCCCCCCCCCCCCAATGGTATGGTCCCCCCACTCCCCCGCATCATCCGCATCTTGGGGATGATGCTGGCAATGCTGGGGATGCTGTCCAGTACCGTGTGAGCCCTGCAGCTTCGGTCCCAGACTCCCCCTTTCACCCCCATGAACCAACACCCCCACACCTCTCGCAACATCCTACCCTAAACCAAACCACCCTGCACCCCTAAGCCAAAATCAAGCCAAACCCCAAACCCACCGCAAACCAACCCTGAACCAACTTACTAAGCCTAAACCAACTCCGAACCACACCCCAACCACCCAACCACCCCACCACCCACCCCACCCCCACAGGGGGGGGGGGTTGGAGGGGGGGGGTCCACGGCCTGGAACATATATACATATATATATATATACACACACTATTTCACATGCAAACCCATGTACAAGCCAACACATGCGCTGAAAGGAGAACCATCATAGTTGGCGTGGTCATGGAAACAAGCCCATCCTGTGTTGTTTCTTTCAACATCGACACTCCATGTCTGCCTCACCCTGGCAAGTCCCGCTTTTGCAAGCTGCTGTGTCACAGTCTCGCCGAGCACCGTCCCGGAGTCTTGGGAGAGTCATAAAGAAGGCTAAAAAAGGCCTTAAGAAAGATTGGATCACTTGTCAGGGTCCAACAGTCTCTGTCGCCTATGTGCGTCTGGGTCTTTCATCATGGACCCTTGTCACGACTTACAGCAGTCCATCCATGACTGAGCAAACTAGGCCGAGCTCTAAGCAACCAGGTCACCAGTGGGTAGATCGGAAGACCCGAGAACATCATCAGCGCGTACCAGGCAAAGTCCAAGGGGAAGACCACAGCTACCACCAGCAGAATCCTCCCGCTCCAGGCAAGAGAAAGCCAATGTCCGTTGCAAGTTAATACAGCAGCTTATGCCAGTCGAAAGCACAATGTCTAAATGTCGCAACTATTCAGTGCTCGCATGTTTTATCCACAGCCAGCATCTGAGAAACGTCCCCCATGGGCATCCAAAAAAGTCTACACACTGACATCACTATTTGACTTCCCCAAACATCGACTTCCCCAGCCAACGCCCAACACCAAAATGTCTTGATGAACAACCACTTGCACTAGGCGCGGCTGTCTACTGAAGCCTGCCGGGCAAGGCCTCTCTCCAGGTCACACTGTTCCAGCAGTCTTACCTTTGGAGTCTCGCATGCCTAAGAAACTGAACTTAATTCTCACTTGAAACACTCCAAAGCCAGCCAGCCAGCTACTTCGGAACACTTCCCTGCATCCCACCCCCATGGAATGCCCGACAACATCACCACAAGAAATCGACCTCGGGAATGCTCCGCTGGTCTCCGAAGATCAAGGACCAAAGGGTTGACGGTAGCGTCATACCCATTCACCCCAAGTGGTGTTTTGTGTTGTGACCTAGGTCCTACCTGGTCCTTCCATTGCTAGATAAATGTGTGTCACGAAAAAAATGCTCGGGCCACCTGTCTCTTTCTGCGGGTATGTGCGCTCGTTTGGCGGATATTTGCGCCCGTTGTGCGGGTATGTTTCCACATGCTTCCACACAACAGACTATATGAAAGGAGAGAAGCCGCAGCAATAGCCAAAACTGCTCGAAACCAAATTTGCGCCCGCTCCCCTGCAAAACTCCAAAATAGAAAATTTCTGCCACAAAACACCTAAGGGGCACAAATTGATGCAACAAATGATGGTCCAGGTAGGTAGGTCTTTCAGCAATCAAACCTTGGGCGTTAGTGAATCAGATCCGCTTGCTGACACGCAATTTGGGTAAGAGAGCTTCCTCTTACAAATACAAACTCCGGATTGAGCACAGGAATGCGACGCACGACCATGCCTCAAGCTGGTGGGGTCGTGTACTTTTTGCAAGTGGGGCACTCCGTATTGATAGGCGGGAATATTCATTCTGCATTCAAAGAATCCTACGAATATGGTCACTTTAAATACCCGCTACGTCTATTGGCCAATTCGGAGTTGATTCTAAGGATGGTAGAAATACCTGGACCTGAACACACATGTTGGCCGTGACTCCGCCCTGCCAAAGGTCGGCCTCCTCCAGTCAGGCGGAACACTCACATTGATGCTCGCCATCCAGTCTGTTGCAGGGCGTTGTGCTGCAGCCCCGTGCCCGGTCTGAGCCAAATGCCATCGCAGTTCCTCCGCGGTTGTCCCGATGCTCACAGAGTTCCACACATGTTCCGCAGACACGCGCCCAAGTAAGACCCCCAAGATGTGTATCGTCTCTCGTACACATCTTCCTTCCGTGCAACAGCGAACACCTGGTGTAAAGCTTCACATGCGGCGTCCAGCTGCAAGTCAAATTGCAGTGGCCGTGCAAAAAAAGCCAGCAAGTAGTGGAACGCGTTTCCTGTATGATGGCTTTGGCTGGTATGCTTGTAACGCCCGGGTGAACATAGACGCCCGAGTTCCCTTCATGCCCGTGAGCGGATGATGCACATGCCATCTGCTTTCACCTCAGGACGGGCTCCACCTAGTCTCTTCTGATTGGCCCTCCCTCCTCCGAAGATGTCAAAGGACCTTTATGCCGATCCGTTTTTAAGTACGCCCAGCAGACAGCGACCCACTGGACGTGCTAGAACAGGATTCTAGAGGGTTGACCAGTAGGCTATGTGACCTGTTGAAGGAATCTGCCTTTATGGGCCTTGGCCTGCTAGTGAAAGGAAAACGATACGTGTGGGCATTCATTTGGCATGTGCCGCCCCGGGGCCCTGACTGGGCATTGTCACGGACTCGCTGATCCAGTTCAAGCGCTGTTGGAAAACATTCATTTTTGGAGGGGACCCCAGACTTGACACACAGCTGCGTGTCTGGCTCCTTCTAGGTCTCCGCGCAAACATCCGAGAACAGAGGCCACATTGCAGCGCCAAACCGTGAACAAATTAATACACTTGAAATCCAACTGGTTGCCAAATGGACACTAGGTGTCCGCCATGCCAGTGAGGGCTTCCCGTTTACAGGCCAATGTCAGGCATCCCCGTTTGCCCATGTTCAACCCCCAATTGCTGTTTTCTGCGTAACCTCTTTGGGGTTTCTTTTTAAAAGGGGCCAGGGGCTGGTGCAACCAAAAAACCATTTGCCCCGTGTTTGACCGCAGAACAAAAACAGAAAAGAAGAAGAAACAAACAACGCATAAACAAAAAAAAAAAACGCATTACCCCAGGTTTGATCACCAAGCCGCCACCCCCGTTGTTTCCCCCGTTTCCCACGGCCTGGCGGGTGCCGGCCACCAGCTCCTCGAGCAGCTGCTCCGAGGGGTTCTCCAGGCGGAGGCTGAGGTCAAACCTTCCACGTCGCTTGGCTGTCCCATCGGGGGCCCCGCAAATGGGCGGCCAGGGGAAAACCAGACCAAACACATGGGGTTGTCTGAAAAATAGGCACCCCCCCACCAGTTTTGTGGTGGCCATGGGAAAGCCTAAGACATGGGGTTGTCTCATTAAATAGGCCCCCCCCAACAAAAGAGCAGCTGAACCAGTGTCTACCCCTCATGGAACCCAAAGGGTCCTGTTTGAAGGACAACTATCTTTCAGGAGCCCAAGTCAAATGCTAGTGAGTCCTGGCTGGTACTGTGGATCCAAGAATAATCAGACAAGGGGTACAAGTGTGCCAATGATCGTTCTCTGGCGGTGAATCCAGGAAAGCTGGAGAAACAGGAAGCCACTGGTGTTTTTTTTGGTCACCCGAGAGCCCTTGATGCCGCTTGCACCTTTTTTTGAGACCACTTTATGTTGGGGTACCCTGGCAAAAAAGTACCGAGGGTTGGACGCCCGGTCTAGATCAAGGAAAAGTGGTTGCCCGGCAAATCATTGAATCTTACCTTCGGGGTTCGCGCATTGATGGTTCCAAAAGGGCTGTGCTTGTCCCATCCTTGTCCCATCAAACGAAAACACCCAGGGAATCGACAGAAGGTCTCAAAAGAACGGTGAGCCTGCAGGAGAACGGAAGCTGACAAGAAAAGGGGGCAAAGAGCCAACATAATTCCGCTGCCTATTTCCCAAACTACAGTAGATGGATGAAATACTCAAACCCTTCACTCTGAGTCTACCGCCCTGCCCCAAATCTCAATGTTAGAATGCTCTGAAGGACTAGTGGACAAAACCATATCAAGCGGAATCGTAAAGTTAGCGCTGACAGTTCAACACTGAGATCTGAGGTGAGAGGTGCACACAGAACTCCTTCGGTGTGGGTTTGATTTTGTGGTGTGTGGGGACTCTTCACAAGTAGTTCCTTTTGCTTTCCCTTGAAACATCCAAAAACCACCTTTCGACTGTTTTCCACAAACCCTCCGATCCTGGCAGAAGAGTCGCCGCCACACTCCTGGAGCGGCCGGTGACTTTCTCCCTGTGAAGCAACACTGAGGCGCTAATTGGGTGTGTGTCAAAAATAGGGGTAAATGGACACATCGACTAAACCTGCGGTCCTCTGGTGGTTTGATTTTGACCCATACCCTATGACCTGCAGTCTGAAGCAGCACTTCTGAATATATATATAGTAAGTTAAGGGTCAAAACTGGCAAACACCAACTACAATACATCGACAGTTCTCACGATACCGACAAAAACCGCTGAGAGCAATTGTTCCACTCAACCTGGGTTGGTCTTTAATCAACGTTACCGCCAAGGGCAAGTCCCCTTTTCTTGGGTATTGCGAAGGTTGGTGCCCGCTGACTGCATGAAACACGCATGCAAGTGTCTCTGAGATCGTGTCGCGGATTGTCGCGGGACTCATGCATACTTTTCAGCATTGCTCGTTTTTCGGTCTAAGCAGCAGCCTGGACATACCCCGGATGGAAATAAAAGGTTGGATGGTTCCGGCTGGATACCTGGGACTGTCGGACCCTCCCCCTTTGAATGCAGTGCCGCTGGCTATTGCGACGGTGTTTCCCAGGGGTATCACAGAAGTGAAGTCCATTACCCACAACCCGTGTCAGCAACGAGGAACATATGACTGGCAACACAACCTGAAGACCAAGTCCACTTTCTAGCTACAATTGCTTCTCAGGACATGACAACTACGAGAACAATGAGCGCTGCATATCAGGCTCTTCCTGGCACCTCCAACATATCCTGATCTTTGGGTGGGAGTGGAGCAAATATTTGGGAGTTGGCAGCAAGGTTGCTAATAGGGTTGGGCAACAGTGGTTCAAAAAGCCAACTTCTGAACCCTTTGCAAACGCAACAACCAATGCAGGTTGTTTAAGCAAAGTTGTTTCACCTGTCTGGCCTAACCCTGGGTTTTAACTCAATGGTTTCCAAAGGGTGTCACTGGGCCATTCCAATCACGCCCACAATAGGCTAGCAAGGGAACCGCCGTTTCAACAAATAGAAGCAAATCTCCTGTTGGAAAACTGCAATGAATGGTCTCAGAGTTACATGTGACTAAACCGCCTTTTGAACTCCAGAAGGCAACACCCCTACACATCTTGGAAAATTTGGACAACCAATGGTCTCAACATGACTTCTGAACATCCCACGTTTACAAGTTGGGCTCTGTCCACGAAAACTCCCGGATCGCTCCCGGATCGCGCCTGGACCTCGCAAGGCTTGGCCCCTTCCGGGGCGCGCCCGAAGCAGTGCCCCGCGCAGAAGACCTGGCCGAGTGCCAGGCAGCTCGCAGTGCCCTGAAAAATCGGAACCGGAGACCAAGATCCAGAAGAGTCGCCTTGGGCATCGGCTACTTTGGAGGAGCCCTCTATTTAGGGGAGCTGAGCTGAATGTCGTGGCCAAAGAGTGGAAGGAACCCCTTTGATGATTCTTGCTTGATTAGACTCTTGGAGTTTAGTTGTTTGCCACATAGGTTTTGCAAACTGAAATGGGCCTGTGGCAGCACTGATTGGATTCCCGGATGTCTGCTTCACGAGAACATCCGCTAAACAAACCAAGGCCGGTTATGTTGCCCCAGTCGTTCAGAAAACCAACGGGTGGAAAATATCGTAACAACTGCTGCACCTGGAACTCCCCTTCAAAAACATCTGCAAGGAGTGCTTGAAGCCAAGCATTCCGATTGTGCATCACTAGCTGCTACTCCCATATAAGCCAAACATGCAGAATGGCCCAATTCAGGTGGGTAACCGCAAGGCCTTGCTTTGGCGACAGGCAGAAGAAACTGTAAGGCTTACTGTAAGGATGAGGCCATCGGCCCGTGAGAACGCAGAATCTGGCCACCTTCTGCCCCAGGCAATTTTGGGGGGCGAGCCAAAAGGCTCCTACAACAACTGTCCCAGTGTTTCTAGTTACCTCTAAAGACAACCAAGGTAAACCACCACTGATGCGTATATGTATATATAGTGAGAGAGAAAAGAGTCAACCAAGGGAACAACCACCATTGCACAATACGTAAAGCAAGGTACAGAGCCACTTGAAAAAAAAAGAACCTCCTGGCTACCTGTGGCAACTGAGATTCTCAACCCGTCAACCCGGCCTCCCGGAGGTGTGGCCCGCACTTGTCGCCGCAGGTGGTGGACCAGGCGCCCACCGACCAGCCACAACTGGGGCCCAGCCTGACCACAGGCGTGGGCCGATGTTTGGACAGCCCCGTATGAGCCACAGTCAAACAAACATGTTACCCAAGTCGACCTAATTCGTTTTTGCTCCCAGACTGCTCTAGTTTTGTAGAAAGATCGGAAAGCATCAAAGATTTAGAACAACTGTAACACAAATAAGGGCTTCACATGCGAAGTGTGGAAGACCCCTATATGTATGTCTACCTGTAGATACAAATACACGAACATACATAGATAATAATAACACTGCACACGTGTATACAATGATATATATATATATATATATTTATTTATTTATTTTTTTAACGGGAAGCCACAAGGAAAACACATTTTTATTTTAATTATTTGTTTTGAGGGGGGTCCCGCTTTTAAGACATACCCATCTATGTTTGTATATATATATATGTATACATATCTATACATATGTGCATATCTACATATACATATATAATGTATATCTGTATGCATACATGTGCAATTGCGTCCGTGCCTGGACCTGTTCTCCTGCGAGCAGGACTCCGCATCTGCTGGCCGCGGCCACTCGCTGCAAAGCTGCACGCTACCCCCTGCCGAAAGGCCGTTGTTCCAACAAAGCATTTGCGCGTCTCTGTTTTGGTAGTACCCCCTTTGTTTGGCAGGTTTTTAAAGGGAAACCAAAAGGAAAACCGAGGAACACTACTATCTATTCTATTTGTTTTGGGGGGTTCCGTAAAACGACACCCACACACACACACCCAATTGCTGTCAGCGACAAACACTTCAGCCAGCGCTTCCAGTCCCAGTCGATATAGGTCCAGGGAGCAAGCACTCGCGCCAAAAGGATAGCCCCTGGGTACCTACTTTAGGATAAGTGCGATGCCCTAGGCTAAAACAAATTCACTATCCTTGACAATCCACATTGCCACGAGCTAGTGCGGTGTAAATTATGTGGGATTGTTCAGAACAGCACATGCACAAGAAAACTGCACATGCTGCAGTCTGTGCTAGTGAGGAAAACAGGGAACAAACACACGATTCCTGATTGTTGTTGCACCTCATTATCCCGTAAAGTGCTGGACGAACATGCTTTTTGGAAGATGCGCGTTCGCCAGCTGAGCCTCTTCACGAGCGGATTATATCCATGTACCCAACATTCCCTAACCACTCACCAATGTGGCGAGCATCCAAGTAAGGCATGCGGCAAGCTGGCAAGTGCTTGTTTCTGCATCTCCTGCTTTGTTTTCAAGATGGGCTCCCTGGGCCTTTCCTGATGATTTTCATGCAGCATAAATACTGGTGAGAAACACTTGCTTCAGTGATGTGCTTCCCTCAAAAGAGGTCCCTTCTCAGGAGTGTTCTCACCTTCCGCCCCAAAGGGATGCCAAAGGGCGACATGCTGATAACAAGTTACTTGGCCCATTTACTCCCCCGCTCCAACCCTAAGCAGGTGTTTGTTCTGTATGTTTCCATGGCCGCTTGCTTCCAAGCTCCAACCCCTGACGATGTCAGCAACGCCAGCTTAGCACCTTTGAAAAGGCAAGCTATATGGGAGATGTTCAACGGACCGCTTTTCGAAAAGGAGGCTCAAATGTTGATCCAACCATTTGGAAGGCTTGACAATAATTGATAGCCTCGTGCCGATTGCTCTTTTTAATAAGTCAGGAAAACCAAGAAACACAAGTCTCAAGGAGCAACACACAATGTACCCGTGGTTGTCAAAGCCAAATTAGAAGGGGAGTAGCGACCCCAGGTCTAAGGGTCTGTGCCAGCATCGACCCCCAACTAACAGCCAGGCTAGGAGCATGGAAGGGTTTTTTTGGAACACGCAGCACATTTCAGGCCATGTGAGCGGGTGTTCAGGTATGCTCCCCCAACAAAGGCTGAGGTGCTTTTTCTTTGCATAACCCTGGCACTAGCCTAACCCTGGCGCACGAAAGGGACACAAACGGACAAAGGCTTGGGGTGGGTTTAGGGCAGGTTCGGGCCCGGGATCGTTTTCACATCCTCAGCATCGTTTTCAACATCTTCAGCATCACCAGGTATTGGTTTAGGCTGGGTTTAGGGTGGGTTCCAGGTTGGCTCAGGGTCGACGTGAATTCCTAACCTATTGAGAGCAAATTTGGGGGCTGGCTGTGCTTGCGGCAGATGGTTTAGTGCTGGTTTATGGTGGGGCTTCTTGAGGTTGGTCTCGTGTGGGTTTAGGGCTGGTTTCGGGTGGGTTTAAAATTGGCTTCGGTGGTTGTGTTTAAGCCCACTTGGGTGGTTTAAGGTAGGTGGCAGCCAAAACTGGAGCCGACCCTGAGCCAACCTGGAACCCACCCTAAACCCAGCCTAAAGCAATACCTGGTGATGCCGAGGATGTTGAAAACGATGCTGAGGATGTGAACGCGATCCCGGGCCGAACCTACCCTAAACGGACTTCCCCAAATCTACCCTAAACCTACCCTGAACCAATCCCAAACCTTTGTCCCACCGAGCCGCCAACGAGCCAGCCAGCCAGCCAGCCAGCCAGCCAGCCAACCAGCCAGCCAGCCAGCCAGCCAGCCAGCCAGCCAGCCAGCCAGCCAGCCAGCCAGCCAGCCAGCCAGCCAGCCAGCCAGCCAGCCGGCCCACCAACCAACCAACCAACCAACCAACCAACCAACCAACCAACCAACCAACCAACCAACCAACCAACCAACCAACCAACCAACCAACCAACCAACCACCTGCCAGGGTTAGCCCTGTGCCAGGGCCAGGCAAAACAAAACACCCCCAACATCTCATCAACAAAAAGGCTACTCAGTTGGACCCTCTGGGTTATCCTTGCTGGCGCTGCCTGTCTGGTCGGCCCGCCTGAGCACAGCACCTGGCGGCTGCGCGTGCCTAGGCCGCAGCCCTCCGAGCAGTTGGACCATTGGCCCGAGTGCCAGCGGCAGGCGTCGCGGCTAACACAGGCCTCCAACGGCACATGAGGGCTCGGGAGGCTCAAGTTCGAGCAGACCAACCATAAACTCAGTTGTTTCTCGAGGAGCCCGAAACAAAAGGTAGTCACCTTTTAGGGGCCACTTGAAATGGACCGAAATAGGGTCAAAAGGTCGGCTTTCGGCAAGTGAGTGCATGGTAGGTGTTCAGCTTTTCTTGTGCAGTGTCAAAGCACCCCTCGCGTGTTGAAAGACGAAAAGGGGAGTCAATGTTGCCACCTCCTGGCGGCATCCTATATCCCATTGGTGTCTGCTCGGCACAACGACCCGCAGGCCCCGAAGCACCCCCCGGATTTGGGGATGTGTCAAAGCTGGGAACCCGACCTCACAGTGTGACTGACAGGAAACTCGGCCTCTCACTTGATTGATCGCACGATTATTTGTTCGACTCTCACCCGAAAAGATACATAAAAGCAGAACAAGGGAGTTCATGTGAGAATGTGTGAAAGCTCGTGATTCCTTCCTGCGTCATACTACAAGGAAAATAAACAAACACATGTTGCCCTTTTGAGGGGCTGCCTCCAGAACAGGCTGGCCTCGAGAGAAAACACACCCATTTACATATATATATATATATATATGTATAATATGCATAATATTATTGGTTTCCTTTCACACCTGACCCTAATTAACCCCAACCTGGGAAAAGTGCGCCCCTCCATCATAGGTGTCCCTTTGCACCGACATTCAGGGAGAAGGTCGCGGTCGCGCTGGAAGAACCCGGCTCTTTTTGGTGGGCCCACCTTCCATAATGTTCGTCCACATATTTGGGTGCTTCTCAAAAACACGGGGCCCTTTACATTGGCTTGGTTTCCCGCTTGTTTACCATTGCAAGCATCCAAAAGGGTGGTCCCTTTCTGCAACACAGCCCGATTGATATGTTGCTTCGAGAGTGGGGATGCTACAGGGGCCAGCATAAGTCCTTCTACCGCTCAGTGATCATATGTTGTTGCCTCAAAGTACCCTAAAACCCCCACCGGAACTATTACCAGCGGCCTCTTTCCCCCATGTGTCAAAACCGGGGGATCCCCAATTCCATGGTCTTTTCCTTCTGCCCGTGTAAATGTGACATCCTCTTGGCTTGCCCTTTCGTCAGTGGATATTTCGGCCTGCCAGGTGGCGGGGCCAGCACCCACACAGCCGCCAGGCTCGTCGCCTCAAGTGGTTTATGCCACGGATGAGTTTGACTTTGGGCCCGGGGGAGGGTAACTTGAGTTTAGGTCCGGCTTGGATTTGGCTGGAATTGGTGTTTTGTTTCAAGACAGCCTTTGGCCATGTTGGGTGGGTTTCATTTATATTTGGTTCCCGGGGCATGAGACGACTGTTTCGGGTCGGAGGCACATGTAGAAGCCATGTATGGTCTTTTTCTAGCTAGGAGTGGCCCCTGTACTCAGGCTTTGGCTCCATCACCGAACAGACCTCCAGTTGCGGACTCGCACTGACTCAGCCCAGTGGGTCCCTTAGCAGCATCAGTAACCAATATGAGCTTTCCGTGGTGTGCGTGAAACCGGTGAATCACATCACATGTTTTCCCCGTTCCACCCAGCATGGCCCAAAACCTTTGGTGGATAAATGAGCTCCCCAAATTCACCATATTGGATTGGTTCTGTTGAACTGGTTCTTAGGCTCCAAATCGGGAGTTGTTCGGGCTACGCTCTGCAAGGCTGGATTATTGACCTCTTATGAGAAGAACATGGCTATCTGCAGCCGTATACTATATATATACACATCATAGCTAGCTACTCATTTGCTCCTCAATCTATTGTCACAGCAGATTCAGTGACAAGCAAGGTCTAAACAAGTCCAGTCAACTTGCACAAAGGGTCCAAGTATCTCATATTTACGGTCGTTAGGCGTTGTCAGAGGGGATTGGTGCCCAACTCCGCCGAATGAGGTACTTGGTCCCTCTGATAGTTTCCGTTTGATCTCTTACACCAACCCGAAAATAGGGGGCTACCATCAAAGGAACCGCCCGACCCCTCCTCCCCCACCCCCCCGCGCGTCTGCATTGAGATCCAAGAGGCACTCCACACTCCGCATCTGCAGCCCGTGTCCGCAGCTCGCGTTGCAGCTCTGCCAATTTCCCACCCGCCAGCCGCAGGCCAAACCCGTGCAGTTCTCGGCCTCTGGAGGCCTGCAGCCCCAATCCGGCGGGTTTCCATTTGATTTCCTCTTTCAAGCAACCCAAAACACAACAGGACGCCCTGAGAGTGCACTGGTTTGTACAACACAACAAAAACAAGGCTCTGCAAGTCAGGACTTGCTTTTTCGTTTTGCAGTAGAGATTCAGATTGGGGTATTTCAGTTTCAGTAGAGATTCAGATTCAGATAAAGATATTAGGTAGAATTCATAAAGAAGGAAATTAAAGGTTCCAAAACCGTTCTCTTTTTGTTGCCTCCTAGTCCCAGTTTTACCGTATGCGGCTTTTTGTTGCAAGAGCTTCTGTGTTCAAGTGCACTTGTGTAATTCACATCCAAGCCCTAGTACAGTAAGCTAGAGATGGTTTCCTCTGAATTCCTTAATAACTCTATTTGAATTCAGATAAACATTGATTAGAACTTGATACATATATCAAGTAGATGTTTAAATGTTTTCTGGCTTGTAAAAAAAATCGTTTGGAAAGGATATCCTACGTAACAGTTCATTTGAAATAGACTAATCGCAATTTATATTGTATGTTAAAATCAAACTTATGATTGGGGCATGTCCTTGCTAAATTCTTTATATTTTCAGCTAGAAATATATTAAAACAAACTCCTAAGGAAATAATTCAGAAGTCCCAAATCGTTGTTTTGCTAGTCTCAGCACTACCATGGTCAAAGACACCGTAAAACGCAGTGTGTTGTAGCGATTGCCATACTCAATTCACACCTCCAGCAACGACCGCTCTGTAATCTTCAATTGATTATGAACAAGAATTTAATGGGACTCAATAAGGAACTACTTGTTCAGAATCCTTCTAGGAATTATGTCGTAGATTTAGAATTTAGATAGAAACCCTTTCCGAATAGAACTTTGCAATTCAACTAGAGTGTCAACAGAACTTGATAAGGAACTAATCCAATCGCAGTTTATGAAGTTTATTATAATAGAATAGAATAGAGTGCACTCAATTTTAGAATGTAGTTTGCACAGGAATGTCTGTCCAACAGACTTTATCTACAAATCAGTTGACATTTTAGCGCACATCATTCAAACATAGTTCAACTCGAATGTCTAATCACAATGGGAAACGCTCACGGCGTCCCGGTCTCTTTTATTGAATCTGCAAGTCTATGTCAGGGGAAGCCAGATTCCAAACAGCTTCAAATGTACTAAAAAACGCATCTCACAGCATCCTGCTCTCAATTGGGGACCATTACATGGACCATGTCATCTTCTCTCTGTGGCTGCAATAAAAAACAAAGGAACAACAGAAAACTAGCGGGTCGCCCAATTTCTCCAAGACTCTTCACACAAAAACATACACATAATCGAGGGGTGATCCGCCCAATTCCATTGTTTCTGCACACATATTTCTTGGAGCGGGTATTTGTTACTGCTCAAAAACATGGCTTCGGCTCTCCTAATTGGTTTCACTTTAAGACTACCAAAGACAGGTACCCTCCGGTCCACTAACTTGGAACCTGACTGAGGGGTCCTGTTCTGTGCCGGACAAGGGACTCAGCCCTGGTCTGGGTCATGCTTAAACATGGAGCCTCCGGTGGGTTCCCCAAAAAAGGTACCCCAAACAAGGGACAGGGGGAGTACGCCATTTCTTCTTGGGGGTTATTACAAAAGGGGGGGGGGGTACAGGCCATTTGGACCGGGGGGTACTCCCCCAAACAAGGGCCACGCCGTTTCTTCGGTCTCGCGCCTCTCCCCGCAGCTCTCCAAAGGGCCCTCGCAGCTGAGCGTGCGCGTGCGGAGGCCCTGGCCGCAGGCCACAGAGCCTCGCTGAAAGCGACACCGATGAATCCACGTGGACGACCCCCCATCGTTTTGCTTGCATCTGTTGTTGGAAGGGACATACTGTGGATGGACACCACCTAAGAAAGCCTATGATGATTCACCTGTAAATACCAACAAACAATGGTTTCCCACGGTTTTAAAGTGGTGCAGGAGTTCGTCCATCCACAGTAGTTGTTTCCTGTCGCAAGAGAAATGCATGTCTGCTTGGATGCTACGTGGAAGGAACATATTTGGCAGCTGGTGTTTGTAAGGGAGAGTCAGGGGTATCCACAATCTCAGGCATTTACAACAACTTGGAAGCCCCATTTGGATTATTGTGTCAAGATGTTTCAAGGAAAGCCACACTGCAATTCAATTTCACGAGAAATCACGCAACTCCCCTTGTGTGAAGGAATAAAATGCTGCTTCGCTTGGTTGGGGGCATATGTACTCATGATTTGAGGAAGTTGCGGCGAACTGTAAAAGCCCAGGGGTCAGACTGAACGCATCACATCAACGTGTCAATCTGTTGCACGTAGCAAATGGTAAAAAATATACTCAACACATGTTGAAGCATGAAGCCGATAGACATTGTGCTGCCTGTGCAACCCACAGCCCAGGCCAAGACACACAGAAACAATAAACAGGCAAAACAATCAAGCAAGCATAATACAAAACAAAAAACGAACAAATAAACAAACAAACAAACAAACAAACAAACACACATTGTCACAAATAAACAGACAAACAAAAACACAAAAGCAAACACACACACACACATATTGTCACAAACAGACAGACAGACAGACAGACAGACAGACAGACAGACAGACAGACAGACAGACAGACAGACAGACAGACAGACAAACAAACAAACAACAAGCAGGCAACCAACCAAATAAACCATGGACGCTAGTTTTCATGTGGTTAACAGTTCTCGCTTGGGCGGACACAGCAAAGTAGAGCTTTTCAGCGTGTGTGTTGCCTTACGCGAACCTTTCGCAGCCTTCCGCGACCGAGGAAACAAAGAACAACATACTTCGTTCCAAATGCGACTTTCAGTTGCAGGGAATTTCGATCGCTGCTCAAGTAGGGTGGTGGACACTGCAAATTGGCAGCCCGATTATCCCTCTTATGGGATAGGTTCATGAGTCTGCTGGATTGTGCAATTAGCAAGACCCTCTTCTCACCAAGGAACACCCTGGTATTCACGCATCACAGGTTCTTTGGCTGCTGGGCTGCTCTGCCTAGTAAAAATGTCGAATATAAATGGGTAGACAGAATAATTGACTCCATTATTTGTTCCTGCAACCCATGATGATTATATCTATGTTCAACAATCATCATAATCGAGTGTCACAAATGCGCTGTCTGCTTGTCGCATCGCTTTGCACAAGTTGGGCAGATTCTGATTGGGAACAACAGGAAGCAAACCCGTTGACCTGTCCAGCTTTGAAGGATTGGCCTGCCCAAAATGGGCCTCCAGCTTTTGCATGGTGGTTGAAGGGGACCCACAAACAAATATATTCTTTGTGCGGGGTTTCTATGTTAAGAAAGTCCCAGGACACTCTGCATAGCTATCTACGAAGAAACGTTATTTTAAGAAGCCCGTAGCCAATGAAAGATGATTATTTGAAGATGAAAGACCCTGTGCACATTGATTTCATAAGGGGTGTCTGTCTACCAACCATTCCAACCACTTAAACTTGCACATACATGTTTAAAATTGTTTAAACACAAATACCATGTTGGCATTCTGTTCTCTCTGACCAAAACGGGGCTTCGCCTGGCTAACCCATCATCTTTAGTGGCACACCACCAAAACAAAGGGACACCACCTTCAGGCATACGGATCTATCAAATTGATCTTGAACAACCCAAACTAATGGGTACTGCCCTCAAGAAGCTTGGTGGATATTTAAATGTTTGTCTGGAAAATAGGGAAAGCTCCCTTTGGACGAACCACCACGTCGCATTTTGGCAACCCGACCTCCCCCCCCCTCTTCCACCGGAGCGCAGGCGGACCACTCGCCAATTTGCCAGGCGCAGCCCACCGTCTCCGCGCAGCTTTTCAGGTCCGAGGGCTTTGGAGACGGACAGTCCCCGTCCTCCCCACCTCAGGTCACGAAGCGCGCAAAGCTGTGGATGCCTTGGAAGGGTTCCTTCGCTTTTCTTTGAGTTCCATATCAGGTTTCCACTTGCAGGTGATTAACCTCCCAAACCTTGCCCAGTGACTCCATTTACAGCTACTGTATTTTGCCCAGTATGGGAGAACAAGGACGGACTAATAAATCAATCTGGAAGGGCTATTCAGGGACACCTTTAGCGGAATATTGACGGTGCTCAGGTTTACCGGCAAATCCAACATGGCAAAACAACACAAACATCAACTCAAACAGAAGGCAAATGGACCTTGTTCTTTGGGATCCCAAAAAAGAGCTCAGTGCCGTTGGACAGCTATAAACGAACCAACTAACTACGAAACATACGCCAACAGTAAACTCAGAGGGCTGAAACCAAACAATGTGCTGATGCAATGTTGGGCTACATTCGAAGGAACAAATCGCTTAAGAAATAAAGAATACTTTTGAACTTCGGAAGCCAACATCTGAAGAATGAAGCCCTGATAAAAGGCTTCTTTCTGCATGAAGTAGATTTCACGGTTGCTGAAGAACGAAACTGCTTCATGCAGTTCAGTCTGTGTGCTTGGGATGTTGAAGGTTCATTTGACTACCTGAAAGCCAATGGTCTGGTCCATCTCCTTTGTCAAGCAATCACCAAGATTACCTTTCACGAAGCACAATGGTGTGCTGTTCAAGCTAAAAAAAGCGCTCTCCCCCCCCCCCCCCAATAAAAAACACAAAAACAAAAAACAAAAAAGGAACACGAAAACGGCCCAGTTTCGTTTTAACGCACCGCCACAACTGTGTTGTCACGTGTCACTGCGGCAAAGGAAGCATGATGCAGCACCAAGAACATAGCAGGGAGTCCCTGGGACAATTACTCGATGAACCATTTTGACACACTGGTCACACCCAAAATACACACGCCATTGTCAGAATATGCTGCTACCCAGTCCGAACAGGGGACACGCCAAGACTTAGTGAGTCGCCCTGGGTCTGTGATTGAAATTGTGTCGCTGATCCCCCATGAGGTCCCCAATGCTCAAGCGGGGATCTGTTTGCTCCGCGTTCTGGGAAAACAATTCTCACCGTGGGAGTTCTCAAGAAACCTCACATGGGTAGGTGTCAAACTAGGGGCATTGGTGGTTTTCAGTCTAGCTTCCCTTTAAACCAACCTGAAAAGAGTCCCACACACCTCACGCGAACAACAAACGACTGGACAGTTCGAGCGAACTTCATAGCCCAGGGTGCTGGGACAAAGAACCGCCCGGCTCTGCGTGCCCTCGCCGCAACTGCGGCTGCAAACCTCTAGCGCTCGGGGCTCGGGGACTCAAACCTCTAGCGCTGCGCCTGCAAACCTAGCATCCTGTTTGGCGCTCTGATTTTAGAAGTTTGCTCACCAAAGAACCAGACGGCAGGTGGTCAACAGGTTTTGAGCATGTGTTCAAATATACGTGTATATATATATATGCATATGTATATATATATATATATTCAGACCATCCATCAGTCACCCTGGGATCATCAGTGAGGGCCTTCCAATCAGGTTCCAAGAATGGCTCCCCAAACGGCTGCCTTCATGGAGGTTTCCCGGTTGAAACAATATGAGGATCACTAAGCAATGCTAACCCTGGATTACCAAACCCCTGGTTGATTAATAGGGGGGTGGCCCCTTTTAGTGGGGATTGATCACTTTTCGAGGCAGCACCCCCTTTATAATGGGACGGGCTTGTTCATCCTGGGTCAACGTCATCAGGCACACAAGTGTCGCAGATTCCAAATATCTGACACATCATGACCAGGCAAGCTACGGTACAAATTGACGGCGCAGCTCGACTGGAAAGACTGTGCAGTATAGACAATATGTGTTGGACTGTGTATTGTTTTCACGAAGGATTGCTACACTATGATTAAACATAACAAACAAATACAAATGCAATGGGTAAACCCTAGGGGGGCTGCCCAGCCCAACACTGCAAAGCCATGCGAGTGGGGTCTTTGTGTTTGTGGCCTGGATCAAAAAAGGAAGGAATGCTTCGAGAGCTGGCAAGGATTAGGTTACGCATGGGTGGTTCCACAAACAGTTCTCAAAACGCGTTGAGAAATATTGTCGACCTTTGCGGGCGGTTGATTGATAAAAGCAGAACATATTCCCTCGCAATGAGTCATATCCCACTTGTTGAATCGGATCGATCGGGCAGCTTTGATGGAACAAGCCATCAACTAGTCTAGAGGCGGACCTCGTGAGCTTCTTCAGTATCCTTGCTCACTCTCAGATCCCAAACCTCTCCAGGCATTGAGTCTTCTTGATCACCGTCTTAGCATCTTTTTGCGCCCCTGGGCTCAAGCAAAGCTCTGTCGAACATGTTCTCCCGGAAGACATGCTGGCATTGCGCGTAGTCCACTGCTGTGCTGTCGATCGGGGTCACATACAGACCCGTCTGTCAAAACTCGTGGCCGAGGCGATCACATTGATCAATAAGGCGGCGGAATGATGGAACAAAGCCAGGTTGAGAGATTCGCCTCCAACGCTACCTGTCCGTCCTCAACTAAACTGCGACTGGCAAAACAATCCCCCACACCGCACCACCAGAAGAACCACAGGAAGCCAAATCAGTTTTATACACAAGGAAACGTTGTGTTTGTTTCTAGCTGGGCAAAAATGAAGTTGTAAACCTTCACCAAGGCTTCCCTGTCCACTCTTACTTTCAGCAAACAACCCAGGATTTAACATCAGCCTGTATACTCATATACAATGAATTTGGTATGACATGCCAAATAGGGGTGGTGGTCAATGTTCAAGCCGAACCCTAGGATTCAGATCTTTGTTGAAATCATTTGAAACAAGGGCACATGTGACACGTGTACGACTCTACAAATGGCTACCCACTGCATGACCCTTGCCCTTGTTGCCTCCCCCTTCTGCCGGGGCCCCATCGGACCAGCTGGACATTGACCAGTCACACCCTGGCGAGCTGAGAAGCTGAGGTGGGTATTTGCGTCCACTGGGTGGCAACTCGGGGGTGTGGAAACAAGTTGCATTCTCCATGCTCCTGTCGGCTTCTTGGGGAAGTACCACCTAGGTGTGATTCCGCCCCTAGCAAAGCAAGTTCTCAACCGAAAACCAGTGGCTCCATGCTCTGTAAAACAGAGGATGTGCAAAACCGTTGGTTTACTTGTGATTTTCCTTTAAAATTGATAAGTATCTTTCTTAAAACAAAAAACAACACCGGAAGGAAAAGAGCAGGGACTATGCTGTGTTCAGTTCATCTCGCCCTTAATGATCCTTATATAATGTCTTGCTGTGTTGCTCATGTAGAGTCATAGCCCCCCGTGGTGTCCTGAGTCTGAGGTCCTTTGGACAATCTTGCGGTGTGCGGGCGGAGCACTTTGAACCAATTCGATCCGCGTTCTTGTGAAGCATTGACCACGAAGAAGCAAAGAGTGCTAACCAAATCTGAAGTACCCAGGCGGAATTCCCAACCATCTTCGATTGCAAACATTGGTGTTGCAACCCTTGTTGATCTTTAAAACCTTATGGTCCATCCACTTATTGGAACAATCAAGAAAACACGGCGAGGCAAGAAACAACAAGCAGGTGCCGGGATAAGAGCATTTCCGGCAGAAACATGAAAGGACATTATTCTACCTAGACGGCTCCAACAACGTGCTTTCATCCCAGCCTTGCCCAGTCCCTGCTTTGTTGCACGTCAGCTAAATGCTCAGAGTTTACATATTATCTCTGCTGCTGAAGCCCGCTTCAAGGTGAATGTGTCTAAACATCAACAATTGACTTGCCAAGACATCCCTTGTGCACTCCCACACATGTACGCATCCCATTATGCACCCAAAATGGGTCCTTGAAACAAGGAAATCTGTCGGATCCCCGCAAAAAAAAGGACCCCCACAAAATTCAGCTCCCTCTCACTGTTGATTTGGATTGGTGGTTTGGTGGCTACGGGATGGTTTCCATCCAGCAATCCAAACGTCCAAGTAAGGGTTAGCTGAAAAATAGCTGATTTCCTGGTGCTTCCAACAAAACACGGAAGGACCCTTTCCGCAAGATCCCGGCTGCGGACAGCATCCCTGCCACTTGATCCGCTGAACTGGGGAAAATGAAAAGACGTGGTTGGGAAGGCTCTGCATTTCCACCCAGAAGGCTCAACCCCCAATGAACAGTCCAAAATATAATCTTCCTTTTTTTCAAAAAACAAAACACAAAAAACGCCCCTTTCGTGGGCTTCGGCTTGAAGGCGCCTGTGGTGTTGGTGCACTCCCGGCGGTCCATCGGCCGTGGAATGCCCCGGGCCGCGCAATCCGCGTCGAAGCCGCTGGGGCACGCCACCGGGCGCTCCAAGACCCCGCGCCCGCAGGCGGTGCCTCACGTCTTTTGGGCCGAGCGGTGCTTTCCAGTCGCTCCCTAGCCCCAGACCCCATTTGGCTGTGGCTCAAAAAACCGGTACCAAAATGCAACCCTGGTATGTGGAAACATGGACCAAAACCTGCGTAACCCCTCCTGTTTAATTTTGAGCCACATCCATTTGCTTCAGGCCTTTGGGGGTTCAAGGCCCGCATATTTAGGGTCTTGGGCTCCTAGGGTTTCAACATCGTCATAATCATGTTTGCGTTTTGGACAGAGGGCCAGTTAGGGTCCATCGATTCGAGGTATGGCTTTCCCAGCGGTTGAATGGAAATGTCCAATCTGACCAGTGGCTCGTTAGTTTGTAGTAAAATGCATTCCCTGCTCATCAAACAGAGCCGTGTGTTCGCGTTGACGAGTACTGCAAAAGTGCTTCCTGACTACGAACATTCACACAAGACATGGGTTCATGCATGATTGATGGAACGATCATGAGGCAAATCGTTGGCCTCATGTCATGTGATATTGGCATGCTTCTTATGACAAGCCAAAACAGCTCCCCGAAGAACGACACTTAGACACAACACCACATAGATTTTCTGCGTGATGTGGAGCAATTAACAAACTTGTTGTCTTGGGTATCAACATAGTGGCAGAAAACTAGCTAGACACATGGCTCATGTCATGCTGCGCTCATTTTGACGTGGACCCCAAATGACTTTGGTCTTGACACAGAACCACAAGCTTTGATCCAATGACTCGCTCTCTCTCCATTCGACGGTGAGATTCCCTGATATCAACAAAGTAGGGGTTGACCAACCTGAGCCCAGCACCCGCTGGATTGCTCCCAAGATCCGGACCCAGTTCTAAAAACTTGGCCAGCTACGGGCTACGAGCCCAAAGCCAACCATCTGTTCAAGGCCTGGGCATTTCGAGGGTCAGAGTGACGCTTCGCTTCGCGCCAACGGGCCGAGCCGCTGCAAAGGCCCCACTCGCCGACCTCCCAGGCGCATTCCGCAATGCTGCTGCAGTTCCGGAAGCGGCTGGGGGCGGTGCTGGGATCGCCTGAGCAGCAAGCGAGCGAGCAACCACCTAAAACAAACTCGAAACGGTTGTGTCAATATGCCGTAAATAACCTCCTTTGGGCGTCCGCCCTCCCTTCAACAGGGGTCTACCGGTATACTTGCCACACATGATGTTGAACCCAAGGCAGCCAGGATTCAATGTTCTGCCACCAGGAAATAGACAATCCAGCATGGGGTGAAGTCTTTGCCTACCTTGCCAACTGCGGCCAAGCAAACGATGCGTCTGAGCTTAGGCTCTCCTTGGGAAAATTAACGGATTCCACTGGTAAATGATTAGAGCAAAACTGACAGAAGTGAAATTCGTCTCTTTCTCAATTAAAATGATAACAAAGGACAGCTATTCTGCGTTGTCTGGGGGGTTGTCTGGGGGGACTCCCCTTCAGCCGGTTTCAAAGGGAAGCCAAGCTGACCATAAAGGACCACTTCCGGATGGTGCACGGGGCCCCGGTGTTGGTTTCCAAGGAAAGCCAAACGGACTCCACTCATTTTGGGGGAGTCCACTTCCTCATTCCGGGCCACAACCCAGAGCCCTAGTGGCGTAAGAGAAAAAACAAAACAAAACGCGTGAGCGAAGAGGGCGCCCTTCCTTGGTTTTTCACTGTAATCCCAGGAGCCCAAGACCTTCAGTATAAGGGCCTTGAACCCCAGTTTCAAATTTGTCAGTGTCCAAGCACTTCCTTTGTCAGGTTTGCTTTTTTCCTTTTTTCGCAAAGGCCTGAAACAATGAGGTCTTGGGCGCCTAGGGTAAGGAAACCCCCCCACCAAAAAAAAGATGTCCGAGCGGCATGCGTCGGTGCCACAGATCAGGTCCCGGGTCTGCAGCCCCAGGCCGCAGGTAGCATTGCAGCGGGACCACTGGCTCGTCCACCAGGCACACCCGGCCGTGCCTAGAGCAGACCCGTGGAACGGCAGCAAACATCCGCCTTTCACTCAAAGGCAACCAAAGCAAACCATTTGTTACATCAATTTTCTTTGGATGAGGTGGATAATACCCTCCCACCGATTAATATGGAGCCTGACAGGGGGCCCCTTTCAAAGGAAAATGGTCTTCCAGGACAGCCCTATCAGGTTCCATGTTCATTGGTCGGAGGGTTACCCAATTGTCAAGTGTTCCAAGTTGGAAGTTCTCGCCACCCGCTTAAGGAACTGTCTGAGTAGGGTTGGTAACCACTTGCCGACACTGGTCATCCAACAGGGCTCTTGGTGATCCAAGTGGTCTCTGCGAGGGTTTCAACAATCCCAAGGGAAACCACTGAACTCAGACTGACCAGCCTGCTCAAGCACTACCCTAGGGAAACTTGGGGCAACCAGTGAACTCATGAACATTTGATTCCAAGCAAAATAAAGCAGTTGCAGTGTCTTACTTGGATGGCTGACTGGTTCCCAGCTCAAATCAGCCCTGTCCTTCCCAGGAAACTCAAACAGCAATCACATTAGGCACAAAGAAGGTCTCTCGAAATGTCTCCCGATTTCAAAGAGTTTGTTACAAACCGCATTCATAGCATTCGAAGAAGAAACTCCACGGTTACCTACAGTACATCTAGATAACTGAAATCAGAAGGTAGAGCATAAAGAAGCCATCCGGCAGCCACCTACGCATCCCCGAGCGATGTCTTGCGTTGATCTAATGCCATGGCAATGGCGCAAACAGATCTGACATTGGGGCCGTTCCGTTTGCCACGTGGTGCCATGCTTCTAAGATGCTTTGTTTGGCTTCTCTGATGCTCCCGGCGGGACCACCAGGAGAACCCCCAAAAACAGATCCTTCGAGGAATACTGTGTGCAGCCCTGATGAGAAATGCTATTTTTGGGAAGAACTATATTAAATATCAATATATACATCGGGGTGATGTGCCTGCTGGCCATGTGCTGCGCACCCCCCAGGAAAGGAAAGGTCATCAATGGCTCAGTAGAAACTTGCTTTAATACTGTGGATGGACAAAATCCTGCACCACTTTCAAGCCATGGGAAACCATTGTGTTGCTGGTATTTACAGGTGAATCATCATAGGGTTTCTTGGACAGTGCGAAATGGATTTCGTCCATCCACTGTATGAGCTTTGATTGGCATGTGCAGCCAGCTGCTGATTCAGCAAGGCAACAGGCCCAGGAGAGAGGGATGGAGAAGCAGGGTTTTGGGGTGCTCGCACACAAGCATGGCAAGGCCCAGGGTTGACGAAGGGAGTAAGGGGAAGATATATCCATCAAGGGAATCTATGAAAAGCGAGTATACTTGTGATTTGCTTGTCAGAAAGAAGAGGTTTCCATGCGAACCTATCGAATCTTTCTCGAAGATCGGCAGAGTTTCTTGCTCAGATGTTACATAAGCCCCCTTTTGTGGCCCCAGTGTTTGTGAGCAGTTAACTTTGGCACCCCAAACAAATCGAGAACGCACTCAGGTCGAGCAGCTGTAGCAAGCCTCCGTGCTGGCCGGCTTTTCCCCGCACTCCTGCAACCGCTTCGGCCGAAGTGGTGAGTGGGTGGCTCGGTGGCTGGGTGGCTGAGCAGTTGGGCGGTTGGGCGGCCTGGGTGGCTGGGTAGATGGGTGGCTGGGTGGCAAGTTGGTGGCTAGCTAGTTGGGTGGTTGTTCGCGCTGCACCGTGAGATTGCTTTAACTGCTTTCCCAGCTTCACCCCGTCCGTTGTGCGTGTCTGTGGGTTTCTCTTGAAGCTTAGCAATATCACAAGTATGTGCATTTGTTCATGGCCATTGGGCAAGTAAGCATAATGCCCTGCGACTTTGGGGTGATTCTGCTTAAAATAAAGCTGGTTTCCCTTGATTGTTTGACCGAATGCTTGCCTCTTGTTTTGCCCACAACCAACATTTTCCTAGCAGAACGCTTAGCCTCGCAGACGTGTCAAGTTGAAGCAGACAGGGGCGCTTTTGTAGAGCCTGATGTCCAGTACTGACTTTAAGTGATCTCACAAGGACTCGTAAACTTAGGTGACCCCGTGTTGCTGCTTGGCAGCCTCGAAAACCAAGCAAGCGTGGTACACTGGGTGGGGTTGGCCTCGTGAACAAAAGCTGTGACGCCCCGGAACCGCAGGGTCAAGTCGCTCAACCCCTTCTTTGGCGAGGCCGCAGCCGGTTGAGGTGAAGCAATCAACCCATCCGCACGCCGCCCCTGGTGATGCTTCCTCCTCCTGTGGACTGCTGCATTGCACCAAGCGGCTGCGGACGCCCCAGCCGCAGGAGGCATCGCAGGCGTCCCACCTGAGTCGCAAGCTCGCGATCGAATCACACCCGGAGAATCCTTTAGGAATTAGGAATTAGGAAGCAGAAAGAAATAAAATGGCAGGGCACTTCAACACCCGAGCCGGTTCTCCACGTGGCTCAAATTTACTTGTCAAGCCGCCGCATGTTGAACAGCTTTCACCTTCTCTGAACTGCGTGCATCCTTCCAAATGAAAGTGCGAAAGGGTTTGAAACAGTATTTCGGGAGAGAATAAACAGGCCCAATCCCACCAACAAGAAGAGATTGTTTAAGTCCCCCAGTCCCAAGGGCAAAGCGGTGCCCTCGGCTGGCCAAACACGAACCAAAACAGGGTGCCAGTTGTAACAAGGTGAAGAAGCCCAGCAAGGGCAGAGACAACCGAAAGCAAGCACAAAGCAGCAAACCAAGCAGGCAAACAGAACAGCGCAGCGAGCGAGCAAAGCAAACCAAATGCGCACCGTTCCCAACCCCAAGTCCTGACCAACCACCAGCACCAACGACACCGACCAACGGAGGGCCGCTGCACCTTTTGCAGCGGAGCTCCAGGTCGCCGTGTAGCGGCGCCGACGTAATTGCAGGTGGAACTGCCGGAACGAAAAGCTTGAGCCAAACGGCGCATTGGCCGTGGCGTTGAAACATGCTGCGATAAAACTACATGCCCCCAAAAACACCCCCCTCGCCTGTACAAAGAGAAGGAGTGAATTTGGAAGGGCGCATTGGCCATATTGAAGTTGAGTAGCAACAAACAAGGAAAAGCAGGAGATTAGGCTACCAGGGTTCACGACCCCACACCCGGGCACGCATTGGAGCCCGGATCCCGCCACCACCCCGAATTATGGGTATGGGGCGGATTCTCGCCGGTAGCCAAATCAAACAAGAGAAAGCAACAAAAGAAAAGAACAAAGGATCAACTTCGGAATGGCCGGCATGAAGCCAAAGAATTATCATTTGCATTGCAACCACATTGAACCATTCGATTCAAGTGGATTTAATTTTTAATTATTAGATTAGGCGCATTGGCCAGTCGGTTGAAACATGGTGCATAGACCAATGAGCCTTGGTTATAAATTAGCACCGTCTAGGCGCGCGATCATTCGAGGACAATCGCCATGGATACCACCAGCAGCGATCCGCGGTCTAGGTCCGAGTAGGACATCACCGGCAGCGGTGCGGGGCATCCGAGATCCTCACCTCGGCACCTTGATGAGCACCACCACCAGCAGCAGCAGCGGTGCAGAAGGATGCAGATCACCAGCGGCCATAGACGCCGCCGAGAGTGACTGCCTTGCTGTGGCGACGCACACCTGACAGGTAATCGCAGCTTGCGCGAATAGCGCACAGCCACGCATGCAGTTGAATTCTGAAATGGCGAATAGCCCAGACAACGAAATACGACAAGGAGCATAGTCCATCTTGTGAATTCCGAAATGAAAGCATGCGCGCGTTGGCGCAGCCATGCAAAACGCACAGACAGACTTCAGGTATTACCGATGTCGTCCACCGCCGTGCCGCCCCTTCCCCTTGCTGACATTCCAGTCCCCAGGGGGAGGAGGCACTGTCTCGGCCAGCTCGTCATCGTCACCCCAGGTAGGGGTATGCGGCGAGTTCGGATTCTCGAGCTCGCGGGGATCACCCTGCATATGCGGCTGCCAACCCTGCGGCATTGCGCCAGGCCACATTTGTGGCATCATGCCAGCCATGGGCTGTTGCATGTATCCTCCCATTGGGAAAGTGGGATACATCGGACTCGGGAACGGGAAAGGGGCAGCCTGTGCACCTTGTACCCCGACCCGCGAGCATCAGGCTGATACCCGCCAGTGGGAGTTCTCGATCTGGCGGATCCGCCTCGACCGAACTGGCTTTGTTGGTAGCCGTATTGGCCACCCTTGCCTTTGTACTGATCACCCTTGTGACCCTTTCCTGGAAACTGGTCACCCTTGTGACCTCCACCCTTGGGCCAGGATTGCGCAGGGGCTTTGCCCTTTTGCTGATCCCCCTTTGACCTGGATTCAGGTCGCGGGGTAGCAGACCGATGATCTCCCCTAGGAGTGGCTGCCCGCCTATGGTGCTTCCCAGTCGGCGGGTCAGCAAAAACAATGGCGCATTGGCCGTCGCGCTGTGCAGCGGGGACCATGTCAACCTTGTTGTTTTCGACATAAATGTATGCCTCAGCATACTCAATCGGGGCCGTGATGGATCCACCACCGGCCCGCAGAGAGTCGATACTCAAATCGAGAACTGTGGAGGCATCAAAACTTGGGTCCTCACTATTGAAGTCCGAGAGGCGTCGCTCAGCCTGTACCAATGACATTATAATGTCCGCACGTGAGGCGCCTAGGCCGTACAGCGGAACCAAATATCCGTCCTCAATTCCGATGCGGTAGGCATCAAAAATATGCACAGAGAGGTAAAGAGCAAATGCTGAATTTAGACTGCCCTTTCTCGTCATATGACGACCCCATTGCGCCGCCTGTTGCGGGTGCTCGACCAAATATGTCATGACAGACATATTGTCGGGAATCGGGACGCCAGTATTGCTCTCCTCGATGAGCAGCTGTTTCGCTACCCACCGCTCGAGAGCCTCGTCACTCGCACGCACACAAGCGTGAGTGTCCTTTGAGGTGACTTTCACAACCTCCTGAAACGCAACTTGCACGGTATCCGCATTGGGATTGTGCACAAGGTGAGGCGCACAGCGCAAACCGGAGATCATACAGCTGACCACCTCGCGGATCGGGTTTACCGACGCCATGAGAGGAGCCCACACGTCAGTCTCCCCTTCATACCAGCTGTTGGCACGGACTGCCTTGAGTCCGTCCAACCAGACTGGCTGCCCTCTCCTAACTTGGGAGCGGATGGTGCCTGGCACCCACTCTCGATAGAAAATCGGCAGATGGCAACCATTGCATAGAATGGTGCCATACATATTCAAATGCGCGCACCGAGGGCACCAATAGTCATGCATGGGAGCTTTGTCCCATGAAAATGACACCCCTCTCCGCGGTCCCTGGACATTCAATTCTCGGACCGCCCAGGGACGGATGTATATTACATCCCCTTCCTGGTGCAGATAACATGCGCGCCAGAAGGGCGCATGTATCTCCTCTCGCACAGCAATCAAACCGCGTCGGGTTTTATAGATGCCGGCGGCTTCCTCGATGGCCATCCACTTTAGGTCAACGGCCACAACGACATGGCGCTTGTCCATGTATTTGACGCGATCGTCAACATAAAATTCGCCCTCATTATTGGGGCTTGGCAACTTGAGGAGAGGCACCTTTGCGCCCTCCAACCCAATCATGATCTCCCCCCTGCAGACCTGCTCAGGTCGCATGGGGAAAACTGTGATGGCGAATTTGCCGGGCCTCCGAATGCACCTCGTTTTGAGGGCGGACCGATACTCGGCCATCGTCAGCAGCACGTATCCCGTGTAAGGGACCTCCGCTGCTCCCAACGGCCTAAGCAAAGGCCCCATAGGCGTTCGGTCACGCAGTGCCCAACGCTTGAAAACTTTGAACGGCACGTCCCTCCCGATTAGGGTGGAACGCGCAAAAAGCACCTCATTCGGGCGCACAGTCGTGCCATCTCCCCTCCAGACTGTCCGTATTAGGAGCTCGACTGGAGGGTACGCTGGGTTCTCCTTCGCGAGAGAACCCGCCCAGGTCGCCACCTCGACACTCGTGCACTTATGGATCCCGTATAGGGCCTCAAAGAGCGTTGAGATTAGAGTCATTGACATCCAACCTCCCAGAATGTCTGGAACCGTCCCACACAAGAAGGGAGCCGGCTCACCGGGCTTCACGTTCAACCGCGTTGGGTCAGTGTTGCCCGACAAAATTTCTAGCAGCATTTGCGACTCTCTGGAGCTTCGTCCAAGCATCGCCGACGTATCCTTAATTTCGGGGAAAAAATGGAAGATGTCGTTACCGGCAGGACAGGCGATTCTGCCTGCTGTCCCGCTCTGTGCATCAAACACAACCGCTTCACCCTCGTATGTGAGGTTGTAGGTGCTCGCAATCGGGCACACATCGGGCTTTGCCATCAGTGCCTCCTCTAGCGACGCACCAGCAGGGAGGACGCCCTGTACGTGCGCTTTGGCACCTATGGGACCAGTCCCCGCTGACATAAGCCGATAATTTTCGGCACGAACGTATGGAAAAAGGTTCTTCATCCTCTCAATTTCCTCTTCTGAGGTGCGCCACGCCTTTGCCTCATAGTAGGGCGGCTCCTGCTTTGAGGGCACTAGGTCGCGGTCGCCCATCGATGAGAACTTGTCCACATATGGGCCCATGCCATCATCATCTACATGACCCTCGTGATCCTCATCCGAGACGTACTCCCTGGGCGGCTCGCCCAGAGCGTCCAGATCGACCTTACCAAGGTCGACCAACGCCGGAGAATCCAGGATTCTCTGGATCCTCATGAGCTCGTTTCTAAACTGCTCAAAGCCTCCGCACTTTCCAGTTACGGAGGTCGGCATTACGCCCTCCCATGAGTCTGGAAACATGCACACATTCGTAGGGGAAAACTCGTCATCGGAAATATCCCGATCACGCTCCCGTACATCGCTGATCAGTGTCACATCCAACAAGCCGCTTAGGGCCTCAGGATGCGACGCTTTCGCCGGATGCGGCTTTGCGCTCTTTGACGCTACAGCAGCCTCTTTGGTTGCTTTGTTCTTCTTCTCATCGCCCTTACTCCCCTCTCTATCCACATCCATCGCGGACGGCTGTGCGCTCCCCTCCGTCCCGCCCATTGGCGGTTCAGTGGGTTGGACAGGGGACTCCTTCGTGCGGGCTTTGCCGAAATACTGTCCTGGGATCTGCACGCTCCCAGTGGAGCCACCGCCAGTCTCTCTTGGACGCTTGGCGGTGTGAGCCGACCCAGTATGTACAGCAGGAGCCGATCGCCTAGGAAGGCCCTTACTGACCGACAGAGATGGAGGAGGTGGCTTCACCTTGGGAGCCGGCTCCGCCTTGGGCGCCGGTTCCGGATCAAT